ATTCTCTGCTTTCAGCCAAGATCCATCTGACATCAGCAATGATATCCCTGGTTCCACGTCCTCTTCTGAATCCAGCCTGAATTTCTGACAGTTCCCTGTCAATGTACTGCTGCAACCGTTTTTGAATGATCTTCAGCAAAATTTTACTTGCGTGTGATATTAATGATATTGTTCAATCATTTCTGCATTCTGTTGGATCACCTTTCTTTGGAATGGGCACAAATATGGATCTCTTCTAGGTGACAGGCCAGGTAGCTGTCTTCCAAATTGTTTGGCATAGACAAGTGAGCCCTTCCAGCATTGCATCCATTTGTTGAAACGTCTCAACAGGTATCCCATCTATTTGGCCTTGTTTTTGCCAGCGCCTTCTGTGTAGCTTGGACTTCTTCCTTCAGTACCACTGGTTCTTGATGAAATGCTACCTCCTGAAATGGGTGAAGGTCGACCAATTCTTTTTGCTATGTATTTGCTGTGTATTCCGTCCATCTTCTTGTGATGCTTCCTGTGTCGTTCAATTTTTTGCCCATGTTGTTGTTGTTATTTGGTGCAGTTGAGTCAGTTCCAACTCATAGTGACCCTGTGTACAACAGAATGAAATACTGCCCGGGCCTGCACCATCTTCATGATTGTTCTTATGCTTGAGCCCGTTGTAATACATGAGCCCGTTGTTGCAGCTACTGTGTCAGTCCATCTCATTGCGGGTCTTCCCCTTTTTCACTGACCCTCCACTTTACCAAACATGATGTCCTTTTCCGGGACTGATGTCCATAAAATCCTTCATATTGCAACCTGAGGCTTGAATTTTTTCTTTGGTTCTTTCAGTTTGAGAAATGCCGAGGGTGTTCTTCCCTTTGGTTTTCTATCTCCAAGTCTTCGCACGTGTCATTATAATACTTTACTTTGTCTTCTCGAGCCGCCCTTTAGAGTCTTCTGTTCAGCTCTTTTACTTCATCATTTCTTCCATTGGCTTTAGCTACCTGACGTTCAAGAGCAAGTTTCAAAGTCTCTTCTGACATCCATTTTGGTCTTTTCTTTCTTTCTTTTTACTGACCTCTTGCTTTCTTCATGTATGATGTCCTTGATGTCATCCCACAACTCATCTGGTCTTCGGTCATTACTGTTCTGTGTGTCAAATCTGTCCTTGAGATGGTCTTTAAATTCAGGCGGGATGCACTCAAGGTCGTATTTTTGTTCTCGTGGACTTGTTTTAATTTTCTTCAGCTTCAACTTGAACTTGCATCTGAGCAATTGATGGTCTCCACAGGTGTAGTTGATTTGATTCTTGTGTATTCCATCTGGCAAGGTCCACATGTATAGTTGCTGTTTATGTTGTTGAAAAAGGTATTTCCGATGATTAAATCGTTGGTCTTGCAAAATTCTATCATGCGATCTCCCTCATCACTTCTATTATCAAGGCTGTATTTTCTAACTTCTGATTTGAACTGCGCTTAACCTAAGCAATGAGTGCCCCCTTTTCCCCTCCTGCCACTTACCCCTGATAACCACTAATAAACTTTGGTTTCCATATACTTGCCTCTGCATTATTTGCTTTTCAGTATAAGTGTTGTTAAGTACCATCAAGTGGAGTCCCACTCACAGCGACCCCACGTGACAGAGCAGAACTACACCATAAGGTTTTCCAGGCTGTAATCTTTCTGGGAGCAGATCACCAGGTCTTTCTCCTGCGGAGCTGCTGGGGGGATTCAAACCACCAACCTCTCGGTTAGCAGCCAAGCATTTAACTGTTGCACCCCCAGAGCTCCTTTTAAGTATAAGTATGTCCCATGATATACTTGCTATATATACTTGTACTAAAAATTACTTGTATTTTTATGTAAGTATGCCCTATGCAATACCTGTGATCCCATGCAATATTTGGAACATACTTGTACTAACAATTTACCTTTTTTAAAGTATATCCCACACAGTATTTGGGGCATACTCATACTAACAAATTATGTACTTTTTGGTATAAGTATATCCCATGCAGTATTTGGGACATACTTATACTAACAAATTATGTGTTGTTGCTCTAGGATTCCAGTTTAACCGGGCATCCTGGTTTGGTTTTATATTTTTGCTAAATCTGGTGGCTCTTCCGCAGGACCCTGACCCCCGACTCCCCTGGGGAGGACGCACCGCAGGAGGCGAACTTGAGAGAAAGCACGCAGCTCTCGTGAAGGTGCAGCTGGTATTTCTCCGGCTTGCGGACGTGCAGAATCTCCACGTTGCTGCTCTCCATGCCGACCGCCAGCCAGTCCTGGTTCGGGCAGTGGCCCAGGGAGAAGATCTGGGGGTGAAGAAGGGAGAGGTGGGATCAAGGACCCCTCAGGATGTTGTGGGAGGCCCAGAACCAGCAGTGGGAGAAAGGGGCGCCAATGTGCCCTCACTTCAGCCCCCACGTAGAGAGGCAGCTGGCCCAGGGCCGGGAACGCAGCAGGCGGCTGCGTGTTCTGTCATTAATATTAATCAGAATTACACGGAGCCCCGGGGCCTCACATCCATTATCCGCTTGGAGCGCACAACAGGGAGGGAGGGGGGAGGGGGGAAGCCAGGCGAGGACAACCACCCCCTTTAGCAGATGGTGGACGCTGAGGCTGCGACTCATTCAAGGTCACACAGCAAGTCCAGGGAGGCTGGCCGTCTGACTCCCAGCTCTAACTTCCCACTGGCCAACACTTCTCTTTGCTTTGATTTGTAAAGACTCAGTGGCCTCATCGTTCCGTGCCTCACGCCATCCTGTTGTTGCTGAGTGCCATCGAGTCGATTCCGACTCCTAGCACCCCCGTGTGACAGAGCAGAACTGCCCCGTGGGGTTTCCTGGGCTGTCATCTTTGTGGGAGCAGATGGCCAGGGCTTTCCCCCAAGGAGCCACTGGCTGGGTTAGAACTGCGCTGAACTATTGTGCCCCCAAGGCTCCCATCCCATCCTGGGCACCAGAAACCCGGCTGCTGCGGGGTCACTTCCAGCTCATGGCGACCCCATGTGTGTCAGAGCAGAACTGTGCTCCACAGGGTTTTCAATGGCTTGTTTTTCAGAAATAGATCACCAGGCTTTTCTTCTGAGGGGCCTCTGGGTGGACTGGAACCTCCAACGTTTTGGTTAGCAGCTGAGCGTGTTCACCTTTGCACCGCCCAGGGGTTCCATCCTAGGCACGGGAAGGAACAAGGTCCTCTTCCAACCTAAGCCTCTTGGTGTCTCACTGGGAAATAAGACACATGCAAAAAAATCCACAAACTCTATAGCAGGGAAGCCTGGAAAGTCCCAAATGCCCAGGAAATCTCTCCTGGCCATATAGGAACTGTTCCTATATATGGTAGGGGCTTGGTGGATGAGAGATTCTCACCAAGAAATGCCCAGAAATGTCAACAACCTACCTAAACCTTGGAGACACAGGAGGAACAGCTATATCCTGCACCCCCTGACTTCCCCATCAAAGGAATCACCAAGCCAAAGAGAAGAGTAGGTAGGACATAAAGATCTTGAGAGCTAAATCTCCCTGGGCTTCCAAGTGGAGGAAAAGTTGGAGATGGGTTTTGAAGGATGAATAGGAGTGTGCCGGTTGGGGAAAGGCATGTCAGCCAAAAGGAACCATATGTGCAGAGGTCTGGAGGAACAATATATGACAGGGTATGGAGTGTGTGGGACCACAGCATAGACGCCTTGAATGACAGGCCAAGAAACTTGCACCCTGCCCCCAAGACAGTGGGCAGCAGGAGCTGGCCTCAAGGTATCTGAAGATCTGTCCTTGTCTCTTCTTGCTCAGCCCTAAGGAGCCCCTGACTTTGTCCAGCCCCTTTATTACAGCCTTCAGTCTGGGCTCTCATAGTGCCCTCAGTGGGAACTTGTCAGCCTCCACCTGTCCCCCAGGTCAGTGGCTCTGTCGTGTATGGACAGTCCCCCATGGTGAGTCTTCAGTGGGGGCACCAGGAGCTGTCAGCAGAGTCCAGGGTCTAGAGTCTGGGAGGAGAAACCAGCTGCAGGAGAGGCAAGGGAATGGGGAATGGCTCGGCCAGAGAATGTGAGAATATGATCTGAGGGTCTCAGCAACCCTACAGCTTACAATAAATCAGCTCTTCCGTGCTTCCTGCGTGTTTGGACAATAAATGGGGCAGCCTGAGGATTTCTCTGGAGGACAAGAAAGATGGACACAGAGCAGGGACTTGGTCCTGCCCTGCACCGGAGCGGGGGCATCCCAGGGGGAGAGGAAGGGAGGCTGGATTCCTGGAGCTTCTTTCTGTCCCCTCCCGGCCAGACCCCAAGGCGCCACCTGGGAGCTGAAGTCGTGCTGCTGCAGCTGGCGGCCCTCCCGCAGGTCCCAGCAGCGCACGGTGTTGTCCAGGCCCCCGGTCCAGAGCCTTGTTCCGTAATCAGAGATGTCGATGCAGCTGGCTCCATCCGTGTGGCCCTGGAACTGCCTGGAGGGAGAAGGGCCCAGCGTCCATCCAGGAGCTGGTGAGGCGCCTCCCAGGCCCCAGCTCCGCCTCCCCACCAAACCCGCCCCCCGCACAGAGGGGTCAGGAGCTTGCCCAAGTCCACCCAACACCCTCCCCCACGCCCGCCACCCACCTGACCATGGTCTGGTTCTGCAGGTCCCAGACCACGATGTTACCATCGCTGCAGCAGGAGAAGCAGACCTTGGCGTCGGGGCTGACTGCCAGGGCGTAGCAGGCGGGGGCCGAGGAGGTCAGCTCGGCCTTGATGCGGGGCGTGGGTGCCGCCAGATCCCAGATAGACAAGGTGCTGGCCTCGCCACCCACGATCAGGCTCCGGCCGTCCGGCAGCAGCTTGCAGGAACGAATGTAGTTGTCCCGGTTCTGGGCGGGTGAGAGCAAGCTCGTGGGGTTGGCCCGGGTCACTCATCCAAGAGCCCCGCCTTGATTAGCCTTCAAAATCCACCCCTGGTTTTCTTGCATACCCCGCCCCTGGTTAGCCTATAAGCCCCGCCCCTGTTGGACTGTAAGCCCCGCCCCTGGTTGGTCTGCAAGCCCCGCCCCTGGTTGGCCTATAAGCCCCGCCCCTGGTTGGACTGTAAGCCCCGTCCCTGGTTGGACTGTAAGCACTGTCCCCGTTGGCCTGCAAGCCCTCCCACGACCGCCGTTCCTCCCGGTTGACCTGCAAACTCCATCCCAGGGTGACCTGTAAGCCCTGCCCACTTGCCTGCAAGCCCCGCCCCTGGTTGCCCTGCATACTCTCCGTCTGGTTTACCTGTAAGCCCCACCCCTGGTTGGCCTGCAAACTCTATCCCCGGTTTACCCGCAAGCCTTTCCACGACCCACTCCAGGCTGGCCTCAAACGCCACACCGTTAACTTGTAAGTCCGCCCCTTGTGTGTCCTTAAGCCCCGCCCCACTGACCTTCAAGCCCCGCCCCCTTTGTCTGCAAAGTCCCCCACCTCGCCCTCACCAAGCAGTCGAGCTGGGCCACCGGCGTCTTGGCGCCGGGCTGGCCCACGTCCCACACCTTCACGCAGCCCTTGCCGCCCGTGTACACGTGCTGCGTGGAGCCGCTGATGGTGACGGCGCAGACCACCTCGCCGTGCGCCAGCGTGTGCAGCTGCCGCGCGTGCCGCGGGATGCCCGAGCCCACCAGGGCGTCCGAGGGGAAGGGCACCGGCTGCATCTGCCCATCCGCGGACACGTGGAAGGAATAGGCCCTGCACAGGAGGGGCATGACCAGCTCGGGGGCAGACTCGGAGGGAGGGCCAGGGCTGCTGTCACCCTGCCGGTGGCCCTCCCATGCTTAGGAAGGCCTGCGACATGACCAAAGGGCCGGCGTGGGACAGAGGGAGCAAGCCTCTCAGGGTGGTCTCGAACCTCCAACCTTTCAGTTAGCAGCAGATCGCGTTTGCACCACCCAGGGCTTCCCTAGTGACATTTAGGGCTAGACAATTCTTTGTGGTGGGGCTATCCTGAGCACCGTAGGTGTTGAGTAGCATCCCCGGCCCCCACCCACTCCATGCCAGTAGCACCCCTCCCCCCCCAGCCATGACAACCACAAATGTCTCCAGTCATTGAGCAACGTTGCCTAGGGGGTAAAATCTACCCCGTTGAGAACTACCATTCTGGACTTTGCTCTTCTTGTGCCTTTCCAGAGTGCTCCCTTGGGAACTCCAGTTAGCTTACAGGAGAGACTGTGGAAAGGAGCTAAGAACCCCACCCCACCCCCAGTGTAAGCCGCTTAGAGGAGGCAGGAGACTGGCCCCATCCCCAGGCAGGGAGCCCCACCCTGGTACTCACGGTTTTCCCCCAGGGATGCTGGGCAGGGAGGATGAGATGGATGACCCTCGGAGATGTGGGTGTGATTCAAATGCCATCTGCCAATTCCAGAAGGCGTATCACAGCACAGGTGACTCCAACCCACGCCTGCCCTCTCCCATGCCCACCTATCATGCCCTGAAATCTTATCCAGACCTCCCCAAGAAAGCAGAGATGCCCTTTCCTCTACCCATAGTACAAGATGAGACAGCTGAGGTTTTCATTTGAAGAAACCCAAAATTGTTTATCTAGGGAACCCTAACACTGGAAAGATCCTTAAGAGTCATCGTCCAATTCTCAGATTTGCTCTAGAACAGGGATTGGCAAACTATGGCCCCCCAGGCCAAATCTGGCCCTCCACTTATTTTTATCAATAAAGTTTTATCGACAAACAGTCATGGCCATTTGTTTACACAGTTTTGCTGCTTTCCAGCTATAACAGCGGCCCCTGCCTGTTCCCTTGGCCTCAGCTCAGGGGTCTCATGCTTCATTTCTTCAACTCCTCCTCATGGGACATCATTTCCAGTCTTCTTACCAGCCTAGTCCTTCCTCAGAAATCTAGAATTGTCATTGTCCCTTAAAAATCAGGGCTAACCACTGTACACTATTTGCCAGGAAGCTGAACAGGACCCTCGCCTCCCCTGACCTGGCCACTCTGCTCCTCTTAATGCAGAATAATCACAGTTGTTTTTTCCACAGTCACAAGTGCTGATTTGTACTGAGCTTGTGGGGCTACTGAGACCCTCAGATTGTCTTCCCACATGCTCTGGCTGAGCCAGGACTCTCCTTGCTTTCCCCATTCCCTTGTCTCTCCTTGGCGTAGCTAGTTTCTTCTCCCGGCCCCCAGCACCTGGACCCTGCTGACAGCTCCTGGTGCCCCCACTGAGGACTCACCATGGGGGAGCGTCCATACACGACAGAGCCGCTGACCTGAGGGGACAGGTGGAGGCTGACATAGGAGCTAGGCACTGACAGGTCCCCATTGAGGGCGCTGTGGGAGCCCAGAGCGAAGGATGTGGTAAAGGGGCTGGACAGGCTCAGGGGACTCCTCAGGGCTGAACAAGGAGACACAAGGACAGATCTTCAGACACCCCAGGCCCAGATCCTACCTCCCACAGTCTTGGGGGCAGGGTGCAGGCTCCTTGACCTGTCATTCAAGGCCTCCATGGTCCAGTCCCACACATGCCATACCCTGTCACACCTCCAGATCTTTACAAATGTTGTTCCCTCTAGCTGACATGCCTGTCCCTTTCCTTCTTCAATTGGCAAACTCCTACCCATCCTTTAAAACCTTAACCAAATGTCCCTCAACATCTCAGGAACATCTGTGTACCTCCTCTTATCCCCCAGCCTTCCCCATCTTGGGTCTCTCCCTCTATTCCAGCCCTGATCACACAAGGCTGAGAGTTTTGGGGGTCTGGGTCCTCTCCCCCACTATCCCACAGCCCCTTAAGAGCAGGTCCAGGACTGAGCTCTCTGGGGCCCAGAACCACACAGGACCTGGCCATAAGAGAGCAAAAGCGAGCATTGCTGTCCCATTAGTACCAACAGGGAAAGTGAGGCTCAGAGAGGTTGGGCCACTTGCCCAAGGTCACACAGCTGCTAAGTTCCTAAGCCTGGCCACCAACCCCAGCCTGACTGCAAAGCTTGTCTTTCCCATACACTAGGCTGCAGCCCCCTAGTAAGTCGCTACCCTTCTCTGAGCCTCAGTTTCCCCACCTGTCCAGCAGAGACAATGAAGAAACTGAGGCTCAGAGTGTGGCAGCATCTAGCCTGAAGTCATGTAAATGGCCCAAGGAATCGCCCAGGCTGGAACCCAAAGCTCCTGTCCCCACCAACCCCTACCCTTTTCTAGAACCTCCAGCAGGCAGGACGCTCACCAATGCTGTCCGTGGAAGGCGCTGGCTTGGCTGCGAGCTGGCGGAGGTGACTGGAGGAGCTGGGCCCGGGGGTGGAGGCGTCCTGGGGTGGGGAGGAGTCACAGGACTTGGAGGCAGGGGTGCTGGCGGGAAGGTCGTTCTGCAGAGAAAGGACAGGGCTGAGCTCCACCAGGCACCTGGCACCTTGTGGCCCAAGGATCTGCACAGACCCTGGATGGGAGGAGGAAGCAGGCACACCTGAGGGGCTGCAGGTGACAGGAGGCCCCGTGTGTGTGTGTGTGTGTGTGTGTGTGTGTGTGTGTGTG